CTGGAAACTCTGTACCACCCCTAAATGCTTTACTGGTATTCTGAACCGGACCGTTCCAGCCTACCTACCCCTGGATACATCCACCTAAACTATCTACCTAAACTAATCTACCTCTGCAGTTTTCAACATTATTTTTAGGACATTTTGATTTACAGTTTGGGAAAGCTGATATTCTGATAACTGCTGGTAAAAAAAAAGCACTCACAAGACAAGTGGTTGGTCCCTGACCCACCCACAATGTGGACAAGTATCATAAATGACATTTACCTTATGGAAAGGATCACCTTCTCGCTCCACCTTCAGAAAAATATATTCACTAAGAGGTGGGCCAAATGGGTTAAACACGCTGGTCTCGAACAAATGACCATGCAACGCCTGGTATTTAATCTATGCTCTGTAGCGTCTAAGGATTAATAAATTAATGTATCTCTCATACTTTATTTTAAAAACGCCTGGTAAGGATTTACTCCTGCTTTTTCAGGTAGACCTGTCTTTCCCTGTTTGTACAAAGTTGTGAGATGTAATTTCAGATGTAACTTGTATATTTTGTTTATAATTTTATATATAAAAAAAATAATTGTGAGTGGCGGTAGTAACATTGTGCGTTCCCTGAAAGTAACTACCTTTGTATTGTAATGCTCTCACAAGGAAAAAATAAAAAATGTCAAAAAACAATTCAATTGTGGATAAATTTCTGCATCCGATGCCACTGCCACCACTGTCCTCATGATGGTCTCATTCTATTTTTTCATACCTAACTTTAAACAGAGGTGGAAGATAGAAATGGTAGATCAAACTACATAGGTCTATAAACGCCGTACGAGATCTAATAGACTGACGTAAATAAACTGTAGGTCAGCCTGCCTTCAGCTGGAGCCACTCCAATTAGTCACCTTGACAAAGGGACTTTCTGTATGGTGCAGCATCTTCTCATTCTAGTAAATCTATATTGGCAAGGTTGTATTATTTACATAAAGAAATGTTTAAACTTGTTAAAAACATCAGGCTGTCTTCCCCAGACACCAAACTTTTTATCCTGTGGGATCAGATGCAGATGGAAGTTTATTGCTGGAGCATATTTTACCTCCAGCTACTTTGATGGGACGTATGCAGCAGCAGGTTGGTGCCAGTACCTTCTCTCTCTACTCAGAACTACCAGTCGTTGGATATACAGCTGAAGCTGAGTGACCCTCGTCCAGCGGAGTCCACAGAGCTAAACCTCAGCAGCTCTGAGTGTCCGGGACTCTGTGTGCATGCGCTACAGAAGTGTAGGAGGCGCCGTAGAAGTGATTGCTGGCAAAGATTTACCGCTGCCTCAGTCTAACATAAATATTCATTAGTGACCTTGTTACTTTGCTGCTCATAAATAATCTGTTTCAACAGAGTCGTTTGTATATTCTAATAACCCAGAAGCAATACTTACACTTAGATCATTTTAACCACATTTAGTGCTTAAATAAATAATAACAGGGGCAGTTTAATGCCAGTTTAAAACACTAGGATAGATTAATGAGGCGGGATTGTTAAAGAAATAAACGTATAGGACAAAGAAATACTGAATAATGATGAACTGTTGTTTGTGTTGCTATAGATCACTGGTCTGTGTGTTATATATCTACTGATACGCCAGACTAAAGTGAGAGTGATGATCAAAGACGTCGATGCACCAACACAAAGTGCTCCATAAATACACATTTGGAAGGAGAGTCACTTTTTTTACCCTTTAATATCTAGTTGTAGGCTGGTGGTTGGACTGTTGCATCACTCAGACCCTTTGAATCTGATGCAATGCAAACTTTAATATACCGTAATAAAAGAAAAATCTATGAACACATCCTTAGTTATTTTCTAGGGATGTGTTATATACAGTACTGTATGTGAAAACTTATTTTTATGTTTATATAGCTGTATATGCATGTCTCATACACTTATATATTGGCTATCTATTCAAATTTATATATGTAAAAATTAATGTTATTTTTTAATTCCCTGGGAATAATTGATGTGTGTATAAGGAGCATGTTCAACCTGGAAATGGTGTCAATTAAGTTTCAATTAAGTTTATTTATATAACGCCAATCACAACACATATCATCTCAAGGCACTTTACAATTCAACCAATCGTTGAATTGTCCGAGTAGGTTAATGGTACTTATGCTGGAAATGGGCAAGAAATTAAGGGCATTTGATGCTTAAATATTCTATTTATCTAAAAGAAAAAACTTTTACCCTAAAGACTGGAAAAAGATTCACACAACATCTCTGATTTTTTTTTAAATCCTTAATCATAAAATAAATTCAAAGCAGGTTTTTCCACTCTGTTCTTGCCCTTCCTCCAGGCTAAGCATGGTTTGATTATGTATTTTAAATACCTTCTTTTGCACCAGGAACAGTGACACACAGGTGACAATGTTAAAGGTGCAATGGCGACACCTTTTAGTCATTAAGGGAACAAAAAGGGAGGCATAAGTCAGGTGTCGTTTTTCCATCAACTGAACAGAAAGAAACACCTTCTGTCCTCAACCTGTTGACATTAGCGTCCTCAAACAACGCGACATGTCATGAAGAAATGGTTAGACTCTTTTCTTCATGACCATTTCAAGAAAATGGTCATGAA